ACCACGCGTCAGTCAATAAAGGTGACTGGTGGAATGGGGGATGAACCACGCGTCAGTCAATAAAGGTGACTGGTGGAATGGGGGATGAACCACGCATCAGTCAATAAAGGTGACTGGTGGAATGGGGGGCAGGGAAAATATTCCTCTCCAGCCACCAGAGGGGTCGTGTCTTGCCTGTGGTCCCCGATTCCCCTGCCACACTGACCCTTCCCCAGAAGGCTTGGGTCCATGACTCGGGACATGCCTGGCTCCCAAAGACTGTTTAGGAACATTGCGCGTTCCTTCCCTACTCTGTTTTCTAGAGGTATCCCTGTCAAGCAACCTCATTCTTTGGTTCACCCCTACCAGGACTGCAGAGGAGGACTTATTTCACAATGTTTGGAAAATGTGCCTATTCTCATGTGACTTCTGTGGGCTCACAGATGCAAATAAACAGCAACTGGCCACTACAGAGTACATGGGTGGAAACTGCCAGGCAGCCCCATCACTAATTAGTGTTCAATTCAGGCTTGGGACCAAGCATGTCGCTGGCAGGGTTGCGAGAGAGAGTGGAAAGGGTGAAGCAGGCAACCGCTCTGAAGGGGATGTAGAGTGAAGCGCGTGGGCAGAGGCGTCCAGCCCAGGCGGGTTCAGGGAACCCGCTGCAGGATGAGCTCTGTGATCTCTGCCCTGCTGCCCAGCCTCATGGGTATCCCATAGTAGGCCGTACCTGGGCTGACGTACACAAATGTAGACTGGGCCACTTGGTAGAGCCCAGCAAAGAAGGGATTTAGGAGATAGACCGCCACGTTCAAGGGGAAGATCTGCCCAGCGTGCGTGTGCCCAGAAAGGATCAGGTTAATATCTGGCCGAGCCTGAAGGGCTCTCTTGGCAGCCAGTGGCTGGTGAGCTAGCAAGATGGTGGTGTGGTCTGGGCTGCAGCCCCCCAGGGCCTTCCCGAGATCCATGCCGTGGCCGGAGTAGCGCAGGAGGTCTGCCTCGATATCGTCAACGCCAGCCAAGCAGATCCAGTCGTCACCCTCACTCCCACCAGGCTGGGCCCGCGTGGCAGAAATCTTGACATTCTCGTTGTGAAGGGGCCTGACATGCAGGGACTCGAGCAGCGTGAACCAGTTGCTGACGTCGGACGTGTAGTACTCGTGATTGCCCGTGACGAAGTAGGTGCCCAGGCGTGAGTGAAGCTGAGCCAGAGGGGCAACGGCTGTGCGGAGGATGGAGGCTTCGGAATCACAGAGGTCCCCCACGATCACGGTGACATCCGGGTGCAGCCTATTCACCATTCTCACGAACATCTCCATCTTGGTCCTGCCCACGGTGGGGCCCAAGTGAATGTCTGAGAGCAGCACAATCTTGAGGTTGTCCATCGAGGGCGGCAGCTGGTGGATGGGCACCTCCACCGTTTTCACAGCGGGGGGCTGGGCAGCGTTCAGGAGCCCAGCCACACTGAGCACGGTGGTCACCACCACCGCCAAGGCTGGCCTCAACTTCAGCCTTCTTGTCTTATCGAGGCTACCCACCACTTTACCACTGCGCCAGGCCAAGAGCTGGTAGGCTTGCTCCATGCCACTGAGCGTGCAGAGGAAGAAGACCATGATGATGTATGCCCCCAGGCAGGAGTAGGCGGCCAAGGAGAACAGATAGGGCTCCTCAGCCACTAAAAAGAGCATGGTGAAGAAACTGGAATGGGCCAAGGCCAGAAATGCCACAACTGCCATCTTCCAAAGCCAAAAACAGGCCGACTCTGCACCCGGGGAGTGGCTGAGGTTGCTCACTGTACTACGCCAGATGTAGAGAGAACCAATGAACATGAGCGAGTTGGTAAACAGGGCCAGCTGCAGGCGGGACACCCAACGCCAGGCCCTGAGTTCCAGACTCCCCGCCAGATAGGAGTGGGAGATAATCATGGACACGAAGACAGTGCCAGCAGCCAGGGCGGCCTTCCCGCCCAGGGACAGCTGTCTGAAGATCGCCATTTTCTCTGTGCCTAAGAGGGTCCCCTGTTATTCTGGGCAAGCAGACTCTGGAAGGTGAGTTCCTTAGAAAGGATAGTGGCCAAGGAGAGATTTCCAGGTCAGCTCCGCCTGCAACCAGGAACTGGCGTCAGCGTTGTGGGATATTAGAGCTTCTTTGTCCCCATTCAAAACCTGATGGCTACTTCCATCTACCCAACCCGCCTTGAATCAAACCACTGAAATATCAGTCAGCTGCTGCACTTTATTATTAAAAATATACACTGGAGGGAGTCTCCCTGGTGGCGCAAGGGGTTAAAGCATAGCACTAAGAAGCTATCGGCAGCCACCACAGCATGAGTTCAATCCCCCACCTGGGAGCTGACCCCCATGGCACAGCAGACTGCTCCAGTCTCGCCCGCTGCTTCCCTCAGCAGTGTATTTTAGCCAATTCACCTGTTCCGTTTTCCACTGTCTCTTGTGAATCTTTTTACCCCCTGCACCTATGGCCTGTATCTTAGTTCCTTTTTTTTTTTTAAGATTTATTTATTTATGCATACAGAACTGGGGTACAGGCCAGAGGTGTGTGTGTGGAGGGGGGGCGTTTGAGAGGATTCACCAGAGACAGAGTAGGAAGCAGAACAGGCAGATCAACAAAGTACACTGCTGAGGGGAGGTGTGGACAGGTCAGGAGAGGTCTGTTGTGCCATGTAGGTCACTTCCTGACTGGGGATTGAGCTCATGCTGAAGCAGCTATGGCTAGCTTTGTAATGCTGTGCTTTAACCCACTGCACCACCAGGTAGGGCCCTGTACCCTAGTTCTTATATGCATAAGTAAATCTTTTTTAAAAACACACTGGATTGTAACATGATGGGGAGTTTTCATTTTCTTACAGTTTTCTGTATGTTTAAAGTTTTCCCACAATGTGTACTTTTATAAGAAAAACATCCTAAGTTAGTGGTTCTCAAAGTGTGGTCTGGGAGGTTCCAACCTTTCAGAGGTTCCATTTAGTCAAAACTACTTTCAAAATATGAAGCCGTAACTGCCTTTCCCACTCACAATTTCTCATGAGTTCACAGTGCTTTCCAGAGGCTCTCTAACAGCAGAGACGGCAAGGCTGAACACAGAAGTAACAATGAGAGTCAGTGATATACTCAGACAGACATGAAAGAGATTTTTGCAAACTAAAACAATGCCATCTTTCACCCTAAAATTTTGGGAGAAAGGCCCTTCCTAGTGGCGCAGTGGGTTAAAGCACAGCACTAAGAAGCTAAAGCCACTTCAGCATGAGTTCAACCCCCACCTGCCCTGGAGGTGACCACATGGCGTGTCAGACCTCACCTGACCCACCGTACTTCCTCAATCTGCCTGTTCTGCTCCCCACTCTGTCTCTGGTGAATCCTCTCACCACCCCTCTACCTCTGGCCTGCACCCAGTTCTGTATGATTAAATAAATAAATCTATAAAAAAAAAGTTGGGGGGAGAAATATTGCTAATTCTCAAAAACTTAAGAAGCTTATTAACATATAAGATAAATATTATTTCTGGAAAAGCTAACGAACTGTTTTAAGTGTTCTGTTTCAATGTCCAGGATAATTCAAGTTCGAAAACCACTATTTGAAATAAATGTCAGCAAGAAAATCAGGAAAGTGAATCTGCTGGTATTTCCTTATTTTCTTGAGTTTGAGCCCAGGCAGGACAGACACCTAGATACCTAACTAGAATTTCAGGGGTGAAGCCCGCTTCCGCGTGAGGCTATTGGCTTGGCAATCAGAGGCACCCTCCTGCTAATGGTGTTGCACAGCCAATCCAGCAGGGGGTGCCTTGTCCACCAGGACCTCAACCTCTCTCCCCGACTCCCCTCTTAGAATACTGGTTAAGATTTGTTGTCCTCTAACCCAACTTTCTCTGCCAGTCTCCTAAGAATGGACTAGTTCCACTAGCCAGCGGCTATCACAACTGGACAGCACCCTCCAGGCCTCTCAGACGAAAAAATGGGGGGTGGGGGACCCGCAGACTGGTAGCCAGGGGTTAACAAATGCTCGATTTGCCGTGTTCTATTCCAGGAAAACTCCCAAGTGACACTATTTTCAGCAACTGTTTTCCAAACACTTAAGAATCTCCACCTAGACTTTGCTCTTTTTAGTCACCCGATAAAGACCTTTTATCAAAGGATACCACTTACAAATTAAGGACCCAAACTTCGCGAAGTTCTACTGAAAACAAGCCCCAGAGTCAGCAGCCTCAAGTCCGGAGGCATCAAAGTTGTTTGCTGACCGTGCAGAGGAACAGAAGCCCTTTTCCATTCCTTCCTTTCCTGCCCACCCCGATTTGGGCAACTGGGCTGCCGACCTCCCCAGGGGACACTTCCCAGGCCGCGGAGCCGATCTGAGCTCGGACCCTGGCCTGAAGCTGTCTTTCCTCTCCAAACCTACTCGCCCCCACAGATCACCTAATCGCCCCCATCAGATGCCCCCAGCAATGCCGGCGGCCACCTGCAGCTCGCTTGTGGCCCACTCTCGACCCGGACCGCCAAACCCTAAAGATTTGGAAAATCCACGCCAAAATTACCGGGGGGAGAGGAGGAGCGGGGGTGGGGGGGACGGCGAAAAGCGGATAGGTGTTGAAAATGAGAACAGCTTAAAGGAAATTAATGCAGAGTTCGCTTGGGGTTGGAGGTGCTCTCCTGACCCCGATTTTCTTCTTCCGGTGCGCTCCACGAGCACAAAGTGGGCTTGCGAGGGCGCCCCAAGCACCCTCCAATAACGCGCGCTACTCGGCCTCCCCTCCCGGAAAACTGCAAAGCAAGAGGGTTTGGGCGCACCTTGTCTCAGCCCGTCGCTGCACCGATGGGGAAGTGGGTCCTTGAGAATGGGGCACCCGGGCAGAACACAAGCGACAGCCACCGAGAAGGACGCGCGCCCCGCCCGGCCCGCCCCCGCCGGGAAGGCCAGTCCACTGCCTGCCCCGGGCGCAGTGCGGGGTCCCGAGCGCCCTGTCCTGCAGGGCCCGGAGTGGTCGCAGCCGCAGACGGATCTCCAGCCAGCTCGTTCCCCACCAATGAATCCCCGCGCGAGGGTCTTGAGGACTTACACTCAAGTGGCAATCAGAGCCCAGTAGCAGCGGCACCAAAAGCAGGGACAGGATGCGAATGAGCCCCGGCATGTCCACCCTCTTGCCTCTGGACTCCAGAGTTGGCGCCGGGGCCAGCCGCTCCGCGTCACTTGACTGAGGACCCGCGGCCTGGCGCCGCCCTAGCCGGCCCAGCAGCCAGCCCCGCGCCGGCTCCGCCCCGCGCTCCGCCCCGCCGCAGAGTGTCCCGGGCGGAGGGGGGTGGGGGGGCGACGAGTTTGGGGCCACCCCGCGGCCGCGTGACTGCAGGGCAGTGTCATCTGACTCAAGCCGGCGTTTGCGCAAGGCAGGGACCCCTGAGAAGGGCAGTCTGGAGGCCTCTCTGTCAGCTGCATGATAATGCTCCCCAGATAAAGTTGGACTTTAACTGGGGTTCGCTGCTACCTGGCTTCTGAAGGGGCAGACGGGAAATCGAGGCCAGCTAAAACTACATGGGCAAGATAGAATTTTAAACCATGCGTTAGCAATGTGTGATCTCTGGGCCAGCCTTCTACCCCCTGTGAGTTAATTTGTCCAGCGCTGCAGATTCTCACTAGATCTGGGTCTGAAGTTGAAAATTCTTTCCTGACTAGTTCCTGACACGATGAAAATCTCTTCCTGCCATTGGCAAGCCTCAGCTTTAATGGAAACTTGGCTTCAGAGGAAGACACTTATAGGGAAATCATAGGTTAATTATTTCTAGCTTTACTGAAATATATAAGTAAGAGCTATAAAATTCTTGCTGGCCAGTCTTAGAATTCTGCCAGTTTGAGGAGAATTCTCCCACCTTTGATATCTGATCATGTTTTTCATTCTGCAACCCCTCCCCCCTCCCACCTTGGACAACTAAGTCCTCCACGGGCCCTTAATAAGAATCCTTTGAATAGCTACTCTTCCAATTTTCCCACCCACAGCCCCTCACTCTGCTCACTGGCTATAAATCCTTAGCATAACATAACTCATTAAGTCAAATGTTTGTTTTCGTTTTTTACAATTTTATTCTTGTATACACATTTGCTTAACGGTCATTGAATTTCTAGGCCAGATTCAGGTACCTTAAGAGTCTTTATAAGTAATTGATATTGTTTAGGCCCAAGGAAATGCAATCTGGAACAAAATAGGAATTAGCAACTTTCTAAAGACAGGCTTAGAAATTCTAACCCAATACACGACGATGTTTCCTGTCTCTGAGAACCTGGCTGCAAGAACACCATTCACAGGCATAGCTAAGAAGTCAGGTTGCAGACCACCCAAAACAAGACCAGCCAATCCTTCCCGAGTTTTGGTAGAGGCGAATTCAAGTCACTTATATCCACCTGTGCCATTGAACCACAAAGAGCAACATTAATTCCAACATACATTGACCCATGGTTAAGTAGATCCCTTTTCATTTCTAGAAGCTGGCTACTTTTTCTGGTTATAATATTGAAAATTAAGTTTTTCTTGATAGCATTGTTGGGTTTTGGCATACTTGGGTTTTGGTTCCTTAATCTATGACTGTGGTGTGAGAAGAATTCACAGCAATGTTTTTAGCAGAAGCAAAAGCAAGACTATTTACAGAGTGAAATTACTTCCAGAAAGAGATCCGGGTAGGCTGTGTCCTGGGAACGACAGTGAGGGAGCAGGGAGCTCTTAAATGGGGCGCAAGAATTGTTCGCTCAGCTGTGTAACTCAGCCTGTACCACCAAGGCTGCCATGTCGAGGGCTCAGAACCTGCGGGGATTGGAAAGAGGCTGAGAGCCTCATAGAGGACACTGAGTTCTATTCGGACCCCTGCATGGGCCCAAGACCTAGCCCTTGGGCTGCCACACAGAGGGTACACTAAGGTCCCCTCTGATGGACTGGGCCTTCTCTCAACCCTTGAGGTCTTATCCTCCATGCCACCCGTGAATATGCCATCCAGAAACAAGTCTGACCCAGCTGAGAAGATGATCCATCCCCCTCCATGCCACTCAAAGACTACCAGAACATCCCTGGAATTGAGAAGGTTGATGATGTTGTGAAAAGACTCTTGTCTTTGGAAATGGCCAACCAGAAGGAGAGGCTAAAAATCAAGCAGGAGCAGTTGATGAATAAGATCATAGCAAATGCTGGGGACACCAGATTCCCAGGAGGCTCAAATTATTGCCTTGACTGTCAAGATTCACAGTTATAAGAGCATTGCAGAAAGATCGAAAGGATGAAGCCTACAAGCACTGTCTACGGATAAGCCTCACCAGGGGAAAAGGATATTCACAGATCTCCGAAACACCAACTATGATGTCTTTGAGAAGACGCGCAAGGAGCTAGGGATCAAGTTCACCTTTCTCCCTCCTTACAACCAAAAAGCCCACCGCACCTTGGCTGCCAAGAAGGCTCTGTGCCCTCAGGTTTTCCAGGAGACTCTGAAACTGAAGATACAAAGCAGGGCCTTGAAAGCTGCAGCAGCACACAGAAGTAGAAACAGAAGGGCCCAGGGAGGTCCCCGAAGCTGAACCAGAGACAATCAACAGTAACCAATAAATACTGTTAACTTTTTTTTTTTTTAAAGAACTGTTCACTGTATCCCTACCTGGGGTGCACCTGAATGCACCCCTAAGGTTTACTGGTCGCAGTCTCTAAGAAGTTTCTAAGACACTTGGCTGGGGAAAGGGAGCGAGCTTTAGGCCAGAGTGCCTAGGAGAGAAATTGTTTTCCAAGACCTGCCAATTTTGAGGAATTTGGACCTCCCACCCCCTTTGGGTCCTGCTTCCTCTCCTCTTGGGCTTTATGGACCTGCCTTTCTCCTCGCTGGGTATTTCTTGATTTCCCTTGGGCTTTATCAGCTTGAGCAAGTATTTCCTGCAATCCGAGGTATAGCTGGTCATTTGGCTTTCTTTAGGCGTTTCCCTCCCTGCCCTATAGATCTAGTGGTATTTATTGGTTCCTGATTTTCCATCTGGAGCCTTATGCTCTCCGTGTCTGGTACCTCTGTGTTAGTCTAGTGAGATGTGGACCTCCATGATCCTGGACATGAACTCAAGTTGAGATCAATTAAGTAATTTTAAAGTAGAAAGCAGTATTTTCTCCACTGGACGTTGATGGCAATGTCACCTACGCATGGTCTGATCATGTTGTCCCTATCTCTAAGGAGGAACCCCCTACTTTATTTTTTTTAAAGATTTATTTATTTATGCATACAGAACTGGGGTAAAGGCCAGAGGTGCGGGGGGTGGTGAGAGGATTCACCAGAGACAGTGGGGAGCAGAACAGTCAGATCAACAAAGTAGACTGCTGAGAGAAACAGTGGGCAGGTCAGGAGAGGTCTGCTGCCTCATGTGGTCACCTCCCTGGGCAGGGATCAAACTCATACTGAAGTGGCTATAACCAGCTTGCAGTGCTGTGTCCTAACCCCCTACCTTAGATTAAATAAGCTTTTTACCACTAACAAAATCCTTTAGGCCAACAACCCTCTAGGCTAATGATATGGAATCCATCACAAAATGGTCACAAGCATGAGATTGAGTTTGAAAGATGGAATGATCTCGTGGAAAGAGCAGAGGAAGGGTATCTGCCCTTTATGCTTGGTTAAAACTGCTTAAACAGAGCCTCCACCTGTTTCTCAAGAAGCCACCCAAATAAGCCAGAAAGAAAAAGAAAAATACTGGATGGTTTCACTCATAGCAGGAGGGTAAGAGAGCAGAAAGAAAAGGAGAAAAAGCAGTTGTAATAAAGTAAAAATGAACAACTATAAACCAGAGACGTTCTACGGGGGTGGAGAGGGGAATAGGATCAAAACTGGGTCTGGAAGAGCACACAGGACTACAGTGATGGCACATGGGTGAATTGGTGGTGGGAAGGCCACGGGCATTACAGATGAGATGGAAAAATACACAGAATGAAGAATGAGGGGCCCTCCCTGGTGGTGCAGCAGGTTAAAGCACAGCGCTATGAAGATTAAGCCGCTTCTGCACAAGTTGGTGCTGGGAGGTGACCCACATGGCAGTCCTGACCCGCCCGCTGCTCCCCTCAGCAGTGTACTTCATCGATGTGGCTGTCCTGCTCCCCACTCTTGTCTCTGGTGAATCCTCTCTCCTCCCACATCTCTGGCCTGTACCCCAGTTCTTATATGCATAAGGAAATAAATCTTTAAAAAAATTTTATAGATTTTGGTAATTCACTGTGATTATGTGAGAGAATTTCCTCTTTTTAGGTAACAAAGGGGCATCATCTTTAAAATGGGCCCTCAAACAGTTTAGAACAAAATGTGTATTTGTACCCACAGAACAATATGGCAAATGTGGTAAAGTGTTGACATTTGGAGAATGCACCAAGGAATTATTTGTGCTGCTTTTTAGATTTTTTCTGTCTAAGCTATTTGCACATCATACATCTTATAAACGGCTAGTATCCAAGATCAACAAAGAACTCATACAACTAAAAAAAATTTTTTTAATGGTCAGAAGAGCTAAATAGACAATTTTCCAACAAAAATATGCACATGGCCAAAATATGCACAAAAAAAAAATGCTCATCAAACTCGATCAGGGAAACTGGATCAAAACCAGAATGAGATTGCAGTATCTCAAAGCTGTGAGAATGGCCCTTAGCAAAACAAACCAGAAACATAAGTGTAAGGAAGAATGGGGAGAAAAAGGACCTTTCCTACAGTGGTGGTGGGAATGTAGCTCCTGTGGAAACCAGTATGGAGGTTTCTCAAAATATTAAAAATAGGGTCTCCATTAAATAGAGCACAAGGGATTAAGTCTCAGTCAGCACTGTGAAGCCACCCACAGGGAGCTAACCCACATGGCACAGCAACCTCTCCTGTCTCACCTGCTGCTGTCTTCAGCAGTGCATTTCAATAGATCTGTTCTGCTCCCTGTACCTCTGCTCTACACTCCAGCTCTTGTATACATAATATCTACCATGATGAATTGGGCCTGAGGCCTGTTGTCCCCTGGAGGCTTTCTCAGTTCTTGTCCTGGCAAGGAAAGCATTCAATAGAGACCAGATAAGTAGAACAGCAGGAGGCTTATGGACTGATAAGAGGAAGGACAGGAAAGATCTTTGCGCTGAGAGGGCCTGGAATGGGCTTCTGCTAAGGGGCAGGAAAGCAGTTTATTCGCATGGTGGGCAAAGGAATGAGGGGGTT